GAGTCCTTCTCTTCAGAGCTGGCCTCAAGCCGCTCATCGCCCAGTCTGAATTTGTTTGGGATTGCCCCAACCCAGGGGCAGCTGGCCTTGTTGAACTTCATGAGGTTGGCACGGGCCCACCTCTCAAGCCTGTCAAGGTCCCTCTGGATGGCATCCTGTCCCTCCAGCACATCAACCGCACCACACAGCTTGGTGTCGTCGGCAAACTTGCTGAGGGTGCACTCAATCCCACTGTCCATGTCACTGATAAAGATGTTGAACAGCACCGGCCCTGGTACCGACCCCTGAGGGACTCCACTCGTCACTGGCCTCCACTCGGACATTGAGCTGTTGGCCACAACCCTTTGAGTGCAACCATCCAGCCAATTCCTTATCCACTGAGTGATCCATCCATAATTTCAGTCCAAATAAGTGAAAACTTGATGTGTGGGGGTGTAAAGGGCAGGTTGCCTTGTCTGCCTTTCTTTTTTTTTTTAGTGGAGTGTCTCTTGTGATGAATTGAAACAGAGATGAACAGCAGATTAGTTTACCTGTTTCAGTTGAGGAACTTTTATAGAGTTACTTCCGTAATACGTGGTTCTGCCAACGCTCTGCTCAATCAAGTACTGAGTATTTGTCCTGGTTTTCAGCTGGAGCAGAGCTGGGTCTCTTTTTAGTAGCTGGAATAGTGCTGTGTGTTGCTTTCAGCCTGGAATTTGTTATGAGAGAGGCACGGATAACACACCAGTGTTTGCATTTTTGTCGCTTGTGGACTAACATGTTTGTTAGTCTACAAGCACAGGATCCGAGGGGGCAAGGAATATTTAAATTAATGAGCCAAACTGGCGTTTGGATATGCCAATGGGATATTCCATCTCATATCACGTCATGTCCAGTATATTAGTGAGGGGCTCTTCCTCTTTTAGCTCTCTCTGGCTTTCGCTCGGGCTCTCACTCTTCTGGGGTTGTGGTTTCGGTTCGGGATTGTCGCTCCTCTGGGATCGTTGTCTGGGAATGGGCCGGGCTTGGTTGGCAGGTGATGAGCAGTTGCACTGTACATCACTCATTTGCATATTTTGTTACTGTTATTATTATCACTACTATTGTAGTATTAGTATTATTTTAAGTTTTGTTTCTATTATTAAATTATTCTTATCTCAACCTACGATTCTCCTTACCCTTGCCCCCAGCCCTCCTCCCTGTCCCCTGGGGGTGGGGGGGAAGTGGGTGAATGGCTGTGTTGGCTGCTAGCCAAGGGCTAGCCCAGTGAAACTCTCGCAGTATTTTTGTAGTTGGGTTGAAAGCCGGGCAAAACTGTGATTTGTGTTTCTGTTTCGATAATATTGTTAAGATTTCTTTAAATTCTTGTTACTGAAGCCTGTTAGACAATCGGTATAGACTAGTGGTACTAGCTAGGAGTGTCCATTTTCATATCAAGGATGGATCAGAGAAATAGAAATCTTAATTTAGGGTCTGACCCCCTTTTCTTCCCTGAAAAAAAATCTATTTTTTGTGTTTAAAAACAAGCTGGGATAAATGCACCAGGAATCCTTCATATGATGATAAAAACAGTAAGCCTTTGCTGTTGTTCAAAAGCCATTGGCTCTTACTATGTATTTGACATAGAATACTGCTGTACTATATGGAAATAAAGCTTAATTCCCTGTTCTGCAACAGCTGTAGCTGTTGGGACAGAATCCTGAAGAATTATTACTGTTTACACAAATTTGAGGTGTCTGGCAGCAGCGCTTTGAGAAAAGGTAGAAAATAAATTATTTTCTATCATACCCAAGAAGGAATTTTAGCTGCTACATCTCGGTGACATATGTGTCTGCACCTAACAAATACTAGAGGATCAAAATCAGTCCAGTGAATTTTCCTCGCAACTGTGTGATAATGTCTTACTATCACAGTTTCTTTCGTGAAGAAACTTTTTTAACAGGGCACAGATGTGAAAAAAAATCTCCTGAAGCTTGTTTGAAGGCAAAGATAAGCTAAAATCCTGTGAATCCATGCAGCAGAATTATACCTTGAAACAGGTTTTGATTTGAGTCTGCACTAGCTGCAGTTTGCAATAAAGCCTGAAATTTATTTTTTCTAAGTTTAGACAGAAGATGTTAATTGCCTTTATTGTACTGAAGAGGGGTTAAATTGAAGTCAGACAGACAAAGCTGTAATAAGATCATATAGATGAATACTGGTACGTTTTAACTTCAATATTAAAACCACTTATCCCTGCCACCCTTTAGCTTCTGGTTTGTAGCATCTCAGTGATAGCTGTGTTGGCACAACTGGTGCAGCACTGGTTTACTGAGCACCTAGGAAGGAACAGTGTAGAAACCAGCTTTGGCACTAGGGAAAAACTTACTGCATTACCTTGTCAGTAAACCATTTTATTTGCGTGTACACATCTTGCTGTATGGGTTTTTGTTGGTAAATCTGTATGAACTCTGCTGATACAACTTACTGTCTTGACAGCACCACAGGAAGAATTGTATGCGTTTTCATAGTAGGATTGGAAAATTACTAGAATTTGTGATGTTACTAATCTGTTACTTGGGTTGTAGTAACAGATATAAACAGAATTTACTTCTAAGCTTGAAAACCAGTTGCAGATGTCTAAAAGTTAATTATTCTCACCCTCGTGGCTCATAGTTTAGTAATAAACTTTATTTTATGGATTAGGAGGCGAAAAAGCAGGATAATGGAAAACATCATAATAAATGAGAATGTCTTTAGAAATCCTTCTCTGTCTGACTTGAAAATAGTTGCTTCTGTTAACAGGAGGTGATGGCAAGCCTCCTTTCTGGTTTTCTGACGTCACTGGTGATAAATGGCTGTAGCAAATACAGAGTAATTCCACTGGGAATATCTATCTGCAGCTGTTTTGTTATAATATATATGTCTGATCAATCTTAAATGTCTCTCTAGAAACAGGTAAAGATGGATTTATGTAGCTTGTGTGCCAAGAACATGCAACTGGACTCAGTAAGTTTAGTAACCGACGTGTTGTGTGTGTTTGTGTCAGAGGCAGAGCTCCACCTACTGGAAACACCTTCTGGTGTGTGCAGCGCGCTTTGAGTCAGGTGTGCGGTACCGATTTCTTAGGTCGAGTCTCAGGGATTTGGAATGAGGGCGTTTGCAAAGAAATAGATTTCCTTTAACTCTAAAAAGTCTGAGCACTGGAATTATTTTCTCTGATTTTCATCTTGGCTTTCTTTGTGTATAGGAACATCATCTCCAACGGGCTATCTCAGCGCAACAAGTATATGGAGAGAAGAGGGATAACATGGTTATACCGGTTCCGGAAGCAGAAAGTAATATTGCGTACTATGAATCTATATATCCTGGAGAATTTAAAATGCCAAAGCAGCTGATTCACATACAGCGTAAGTAAAGTAACTCATCCACTGAAGTTGGCACTAAGAATTTTATTTTGCTAGTGGTTCAAGAGGTTACTCTTAAATGTCTGCTGAGCTTGCATCAAGACTGACTTCTCAGAATTTTTTCCAACATGTAAAGGAATACATACTTTTTACTGAAGAGGTATATTTAGTCCTTGATCAAGAAGGAGATAAATAATCCTTCTTCAGTCTGCGTCTATATGTTAATACTTTAAATTTTAGCAATCTCGAAGGCCTGTTTCTGCCCTCTATAATACTCTGTAGTTACAGCTTGCAGGGAAATTTAGGTTAATTAGCAAGGGCAGACACAAATCTACTTGAAGAGGAAAACATATAATATAGCTAAGAAACAGAGTACCTGTCCCCTAAAGCTTAACCAGGATAAAATGACAGTAGAGTGGATTGGAAAGCCAAGCAGAATTGGCAGTAGTAGCAGCATTTGCCTGTGCCTGCGTGAACGTATTCTACATCTAAAAGTAGGCGTTTTTTTGATATCACTGATGACTTGCAAAAATGTTTTGGGAATTTGTTTTTGTTAAGTCGATAGCAGCTATTCTGTATGGATGTGACCCTTGATGTGAGCATCACATCACTTCAGATAACTTTTGAAAACATGATAGAAAATATAATCTGTTGCAGAATTCTGTTGCATGAATTCTGAATTAGTAGAATTTAAAAAGTAGTATCTATAGTATGTAAACAGATCTCATGCCTAATTAACTTCAGTTAAATGTTAGACTTTTATATCAGTCCAAGCTTCAGTAATGGCTTAAAGTATTGGAATCATGGAATAGTTTGAGTTGGAAGGGACCTTTAAAAAAAGGTCATCTAGTCCAAGCCCTCCTGTAATGAGCAGGGACATCTCCCACTAGATGAGATGGAAGATCAGGTAGATGGGAGAATGTTGTTCTGCTCCTAAGCAAATGAAGAGATTAATACTAGCAGTCTTCCATGCTGATACTAAGGTTACACTTCTTCATTTTTCTTTTTCTTCTCTAGTGGTCTAACAGCTGAAATGGTGATTTTCAGCTGCATTATATTTATTAAAAGTAACTGATGTTTTTTTCATGATATGTTTCCAGATGTGCACTTGGGAAGAAATTCATATCTCTTGCAAACTAGAACAACTTGAAGGAGACATGATAACTAGGGAGATCTGGTTTTGAATGTGAAATGCTGCATTTTCATAGGATATTATGGAAAACGGAACAGTTGTTTGTATTCTGCAAAACATTACTTGTATTTGAAGATGCCTTACTGTATAGGGTAGACCATGCTGGGCCAGTTTAGTCTGGCTCGTCTACATCACAAAAATCATCGATGAGACTGTGAGGAAGGTCATTATAATACAGCCTGCACATACTTCTGTAGAAGTATCTTTGAAGTGTGTTTGATCTGAAGTCTGAACTATTGGTGATATGATTTTTAATGGCTTAATTTTTATCAAGAAAAAAATAGATATAATTTATAAGTAGGGTTACTTCAACATTCAAACAAATAATTTTGTTTTTGTCTTAAGAAAAATTTGATGTGTACCCCAGATGCTGCTATTAGAGCACAACACCTCTGTTGTAACACTAACTTTAACTTTCGCTGTATCCTTTAGCTTTTAGTTTGGATGCTGAGCAGCCGGATTATGACTTGGATTCGGAAGATGAGATCTTCGTGAATAAGTTGAAGAAAAGAATGGACATTTCTCCTTTGCAATTTGAAGAGATGATAGACAGACTAGAAAAGGGCAGCGGTCAGCAGGTACAATGGTACTTAGAATAAAGCATTTGAAATACGCACTCTGTACATTGCTATATGAAAGTGACATGCTGGGTTTTACATTTAGCCAGTCAGCCTGCAAGAGGCCAAGCTGTTGCTGAAGGAAGATGATGAATTGATCAGAGAAGTGTATGAGTACTGGATTAAAAAGAGGAAAAACTGTCGAGGTCCCTCTCTTATCCCAGCAGTGAAACAAGAGAAGCGAGATGGTTCCAGCACAAATGACCCTTATGTTGCTTTTAGAAGACGAACAGAAAAGATGCAGACACGAAAAGTAAGTAGATCACTACCTCCATCTGCTTGCTTTCTTTTTTCTCCCCCTCTCAAAACTAGCTTGTATAAAGAAACAATTCTACTATGTAGTACAAAACAATAAAAGTTGGAGTGTTCTTTTGTTTTAATTTGCAAGGGTAAAAACATGAAAAAAAAAAACTTCTTTAGGGCAACTAATGAATGACAGTTTAAATTCATTATTTTTTTGCTAAACCTCCTCATGGTTTTGGTAAGCTGTAGCTCGTGGATAATGTGCACTTGATTCTCTTTGGTTTAGCATATGATTATTTTATTTTTATATATATATATATATACACACACATAAATATTTAGAACTTTAATTCAAATTTAATTTAAATGATGTTAGGAAACATATACACTGTGTATCTACAGAATCGAAAAAATGATGAAGCATCTTATGAGAAGATGCTTAAGCTGCGTCGAGATCTCAGTCGTGCAGTAACCATCCTGGAGATGATAAAGAGGAGGGAAAAAAGCAAGAGAGAGTTGCTGCATTTAACACTGGAAATTATGGAAAAGAGGTAATGTTTATTGAAAAATTGCTGCACAAAGTTTTAGAGACTACTTTCTATTCCGATTCTCATGAACACTTAAAACAGTGAGAGATTTTTAAAATAAGTATTTAGACTCACATTTACAGAATAGCTTATTTTCACATATGGCTTCAGAGAGCAAAATAAAACATTAGGAAGTTGCTTATTATGGGAAAGTGACCCATCACACTAATATACATTGGTTTATTACCTATGTACGTGTATTAAAATATCTATATATTATACAGGGGGAGAGATCATAGTTTCAGGTACATTTATTTGGAAATTTGTGTTAATCTTGAGTGGTGTAGATTAAGGACATCCCAGCTAGTGTTTAGGCCATTTCCAATCATTACCATTCTTCTTTTTCTTCTTTATCACTGTTCTTTTTTAGCAAAGCTTGATCTAATATCCTCTTGAGGAAAACAGATAAGCATTTCATACAATATAAAATGTTGTTCTGTGAGTCATTTCCAACTAGTGCTTCTTTTGACATCCTATTTGTCAGCTGTGCTGAAGACCAAATGCTCTGGTCTGTCAACTCTCACTTTCCCAATCAACTCAAAATCATACCTGCCACATGGAGTTGTTCTTTAGGTTGATGCTTAGAACCTGAATAGACTTCTTTAGCTTAAGCATTTCTGAAAACAAATGTTTTGAGTCAGTTGCTTTAAAACTCTATAAGTTTTTAGTCTGACTTCTTAGGGAGACAAGTTGAATGTCTCTACCAGAGCACTTTTTTCAAGCACTGACCACTTTCAGTAGAAGTAGAGAGGGGAGAAATCTCAAAAGATTTTTCCAGCAGCTTTTTCAAGAAAATAAGTTGTTGAATAGAGGAAAGAATGTAATAGGCTTCTCAGAAAGGAAAACTGCACTTCATCACTTTCCATAGGACTTGAAATGTAATGTTTCATGGATCTGTTTGTTGTGAAAATATTCCATAACACACATGAGGGAGGATTTGTGAATAAGGCACTCTGCTGCCTCATGGTTTAAAACCTTTTGTGTGATCAGTAGATGTTTTTAAATGGTACCTGCTCCCAAGTGAGAGGAGAGGGAAACCCTCTTCTGTTCTTTCCTTCTAGTTTCTGCTTCTTTCCTTGACAGTGTTATCTTTTGGACATGTTTTATGGGCTTTACAGGGTAGTTATCCTTTTTATTTGGTTGGTTTATTAGTCATTGCAATTAAGTTTACATGTTATTAGTCCCTTTTCTGGAATAATACTTTCTGTATTACTTGCTGTCATCCTGGATGTCCCTTTACCCCAAGTTGTGTTTCTCTGTGCTGTGCAGTTTTTTTAGCAGTCGTACATTGTAAACGTTCCAACAAATTTTTTTTAAAAAAAAAATCTAATTTCAGGTATAATTTGGGTGACTACAGTGGAGAGATCATGTCTGAGGTCATGGCACAGCGGCAGCCAATTAAACCTACTTATGCTATTCCCATCATTCCTGTGACTAACAGCAGTGCTTTTAAACACCAAGAAGCTATGGAACTGAAGGAATTTAAAGTTAAAGTGAGTAGTATCAGTAACCAAGTTTCTAGTTCATACTGTTACACAAGCATGCTGTATGCAGGATAAAACATTTTAGGATGGGGGGAGAGAGGAAGCTTTTTGAAGCTGGAATTAAACTAGTGAAGCTGTAATTGGAATAAAACGCTTTGTTCTGTTCAAGTTAGGAGGATAACATACAGACTATTAGCATTCCTCAAGGCAGAAATAAAAGTATAGACCAACTACAGAGGGAAAAAAAAAGGACACATGAAATTGTATTCTTGTTCTGGGGGATATGAACATTTTTCTCCAATACTGTCCCTACAGTTAGGATATCCTGAATGAAACTGTATTTACTACCTAGATACTGCACAAAGATAAGACTAATGAGGTAAAACCCGTAGCTTGTTCTAAATTATGTAGTTATTTTAATCTGGAGGGTTGTTTTTTCATAGAATCATAGAATGGTGTGGGTTGGAAGGGACCTTAAAGATCATCTAGTTCCAACCCCCCTGCCACTAGACCAGGTTGCTCAAAGCTTCATCGAGCCTGGCCTTGAGCACTTCCAGGGAGCAGGCATCCATAACTGTTGGTTTTGGAGGTTTTTTTCTTTGTTTGGGGTTTTTTGTGTGGGTTTTGTTTGTTTGTTGTTTTTTTGTTGTGGGTTTTTAAAAAAAAAAAAAAAAAAAAAAATCCGCTGATATCCCAGCGTGCTGGATATCTTTGTCTGATTTTTATTTAAGTAAAGTATCAAATAATCTTATTTAATTTAGAGTGCTGACCAGCACTTTTTTCCCTGAAGGCTTTAATTTTGTGTCATACAAAGCATAGCTACAGTGCCAACAACTGAGCATATTAAATAGGTCAGGTAACATAGGAGAAATGCTGAGGTATAATTTCAATTTTAAACAAAGGTGACTTATAACTGAAGAATGTTCAAAGGCTCTTCTGAATCTGACAAAGTGGCTTGAATTGCTGAATGCTTCCATTGATAGCAGAGCATTGTAATTAAAATGCGCTTACCTCTTAGTGAGTTAGGTCAATGCAGCGTCTCACAGCTTAAAATAAATCCGTTTCTTGGATACTTGGGAAATGCACTTAAACTTTACTTCGCATAATATGGGGAAATGTGTTTAATTTTTAGAGGATTTTCTGAGGTTCTGGGTATCTTTGTGAAGTCTAGCTTCTATTTTTGCCTTTAAAGCATAGTTTGGTGCTTAGACATTTATGCAGTGTTGGGGAATTACTATTAACTTAAAATGTTAGAAAATAAAAAAGGTGCCTTTTGAAGACCATTGTTTATATTTTGGTCTGCTTCTCCAAAGTAGTACTGTTATCTTAACTGCTAGTGTTTTATCTAGCACAGATTGAGCAAATAGTGCTTGATTCCACCTTGTCTGTCAAACATTTCAGTTACTGGAAACGAAGTAGAGATAGCAAAACATGCAGTTGTTTCATTAATATCAAGATGATGGAGACATGAGTTCACTTTTTAGCTTGCTTACATAGGAGTTTTCCAAAACACCTGTTTTCATCTAATTCGCTTGTGTGTGTAATTTTATGCTGCCTTTTTTTTCCTGCAGCAAGATAAACCTGATGTTATTAGACCCAAAAGAAAGTATGAGAAGAAGCCAAAAGTCTTACCTTCGTCTGCTGCTGCTACTCCTCAACAGACAAGCCCTGCTGCACTGCCAGTCTTTAATGCTAAAGATTTGAATCAGTATGATTTTCCAAGCTCAGATGAAGAACCTCTCTCCCAGGTAGGACCTCTATAGTTCTTTGCTGCTCTTGGGGAAAGAATATAAGTAAAACTCAGGAATTTACTAATATGTCTCCTCTTACACATCCCCTCTTTAAAGGTTTTGTCTTGTTCTTCGGAGGCTGAGGAAGAAAATGATCCCGATGGTCCTTTTGCCTTCCGGAGGAAAGCAGGCTGTCAGTACTATGCTGTAAGTAGAATTACCTTATGTATCATAAGACAGAACAAAGTTGTGGGAAAACTTCTTGTGTTTAATTGTTTAAAATTATTTTAAGCCTCATTTAGACCAACCTGGCAACTGGCCGTGGAGTAGCCCTAAAGAGGGAAGGTTAGGAGATGTGCGTTACAGATACTGCTTAACCACCCTCACTGTACCCCAGAGGTGTATTGGGTTTGCACGAAGACGGGTCGGCCGTGGTGGAAGGTAAGTGCTACGTAATTGCTGGTTTTAATTTTTTTAAATTATTTTTTTAAAAAAAGCAAACCACACAAAAAACCAAAACCCAAAATTAGTAAGACATAAAGAGCAAAGCTTAAAAAAAGCAAGCCCCTCAAAAATGGAGACATCAGAGGCTTTTTAAATACTTCCACTTGATACAAGTTTCCTTAGCTGGTTAATGTCTGCTTTTCTATTTTGTAGTAATGGAAGCCGCTTTAATACTGTTTTCTTAAATGTTTCTAGAGGTTTTTATTGCTGACATTCCCAAGTTCTGGGGTGAAATTACATGTGTGTGTTCAGTTGTGACTGATGATTTGTACTTAAATTATTTGCATAGTGGTATTTAAAACCAGCAAAAATCACATTTTTTCAGAAAAATACTTTCTGAGTTTGGATCATACTTAGTGATTTGCCAGTTATAGAGGAGAATTTTGGGAGGAATACTGACAAGTGACAATAACTGTTAAATTTCAAACATTGTCAAAAATCTGAAATAGTTCAGGACTTCAGGCATTTTGCTTCTAAGCATCTTTATTGAAAGCAGTGTATAAATTGTTCAGTGTATAAGTGCCATTTCTCAAATATTGTACGATGTCTTTAAGAAAATTGTGCATTGGTATTAAATTTTAATTTTAAATAAATATGAGAATGTGATTTGGCTGTCAGATAAATGCTTAGCACATCTTCACATATTAGCAAGTCGGATTGGCATATGAGCAAAATAAGAAAGGGAGCTGAAGGCTCTTCTTGGGATTTTGCAAGGGGATTTGGAAGTTAATGTGTGACATCCCTGCTTCATTAGGATGGTTGTAGGTATATTCAGTATACATGGCAGTGGGGCTTATTTTATTATCTGTTTTTTATTTTGGTTTGTTTGTTTTTTCTTTGTGTTGTGAAACTCTTATCTTCCAGCCTGATTGGAAAAAAAAAAACCCATAAAAAAACCCACAAACAAACAAAAAACCCTACCAGAACTATATGTTGTTGCAGTGTCAATATATTCATGATGATGTATATCACGTGTTCAAACAATAAAAGCTAGAATATACATGTGAAGAGAAACCTAAACATACTGCTTATTATTAAAAAAAAAATAAATTGCAAAATAATTGTGCCTGCTTGGGGGGCTGGGGCAGGGGAGGGAAGTTGCTTGTTCTACAAGAGTTTTGTGTAGTTTTTTCTGCCCTTTGTCATCCCCAAGCATACATGGCAAATCAGTGACTTTCTCACTCTTTTCTTGCCGCTGTCTAATTCTGCATTGTTTTCCTGGTTTCAGGGTGCTACTAGACAGAGCGCATTCGGACTACGATAATACATTTCATCAGCTGGATTTGGAAATGATTTCCTCATCGCAACACTCTTCAATCAGTCAATTTGCCAATACCTCAGAAACAAATACCTCGGACAAATCTTTCTCAAAAGACCTCAGTCAGATACTAGTCAATATCAAATCATGTAGATGGCGGCATTTTAGGCCTCGGACACCATCCCTACATGACAGTGACAATGATGAACTCTCCTGTAGGAAATTATACAGGGGTATAAATCGAACAGGCACAGCACAACCTGGGACCCAGACATGCAGTACCTCTATACAAAGTAAAAGTAGCAGTGGTTCAGCACACTTTGGTATGTTTGTTTTGACAAACTTGCTTCTAGAAATTCTAAACTTGGCTCAGAAAATCCAGAATATCATTAGATCATTCGTGCTTTACATCATGGTCTGTTTTGGTGGTGACAGCCCATATTCACTTTTATCTCTCTCTCTGTCTGCTACATAGAATGTTTATTTGTATTTATTACTAGCAGTAGTGTTCTGCATCTCAAACTTATGCAAATGCTACCTTGGTATGTAATTATGATTCTGGAAATGACGGAGGTTTAGGGACCAGTGTTGATCTGAAGATCTGGATTTTTAAAATTAAAAATACATAATTGAAATGTTGATTATAAATATTACATTCCAAATTTTTTCTAGTACAAGGTATACTGGTGGTGGGAAATGTTTAGTTAAAATGTTTGCATTTAAAATCATGGCATGTTATGAAATCTTATTTGAACTTACATGAAATTAAATGCCATTTCCCATCCAAAAAATACCCAGCCCACTCCACTGGTGCATCTAAATTGAGGACCTCACTCTAAGAAAATTTGATGTGATTTCAGTTGTTTTCTAATTGGAATACTATTGGATAACATCACCCTTTGTATTGGGTTCTCCACACTAGAAGACTGATATTTACGTATTTAGAGGGTAACTTAGATAACTTGAATTTTGATCAGTCAGTACATTAAATGTCATCATTTTATAGGAAGTGATGTACTTTTTTTACAAAGAAGTAACTTTAAAAGTTGACCACCATTTTGTAAGGAGTCTCTAGAATCATGTTTACCTTGCTATTTTGAATTACGGCTTTGGAAACAAATTAGAAAACCTGGATAATGTGGGAGTGGGGTGGAGGGAGATGCTGCATATACCTAATAAACTCCCCAGGTTGTGGGATGTTTTGGAGGTTTGCTCAAACAAAGTGCTACCCTAGTACCAGGTTACTTTAATCCTCCTATTTTCCAATATATTTTGTACCTTTCCTTCCTGCACCACCTGGGTTTGGGTTTTTTTCTGAAAAATTCTTCCTCCTTGCATTTTTAGACTTAGTGGGCAGTTTTGTTCTGCTTCCTCTCAGACTGTCCTAGAGTAGGTACTTCTCTCCATCCCCCATTCTTTTCTCTTTTATGACTCTTCTTGCTGGAAATGTATTAGGGCTGAAACCAATGGTTCTTCTGGTTTGTGATCTAAGTACGGCTTTTGGTGTTTAAATTCTGCCCCTCCAGTGTTTCACATCAGTAGACAGTCCAGATCTGAATGAGAGCAGCATCTGCTAGTGGCCAGTCTGAACTGTGATAAAACGGTAGTCAGGTTACTAGTGTGAAAACAAAACTCTTATGTGATGAATAGATTATAAATTCACTATAAAGTATTAATGGGCAATGTGACATCTGAAAAATCATGCAGACTTGAAAAATTGTCTGATTGAGTTTAAAGCCTGTGTCTTTGTGTGTGTGTTTGTAAATAAACACACCCCCCAATAGAATCTTTTTTCCTTAAATAGATTATTAAGATACTTATGTAGATAATGTAGGAATTAAATGCAATTGTTATTTATGGTGATGAGTTCTGTTCAAGGTTTTAATTGTGTGGTTGTATTTTTAAGCCTGTGGGAAAGTAATACTTGCATGTAAGCACCTAGCATATTAGATTCATTTGTGCTTGGAATTCTATGCTGATGGTTTATCATCTGTGTAAAATATTTAAGTTAGTATTCCAAGCTTTTCCAAATTTAAATGTTGCTGAGTTTAGATTTCAGTTTTTTATTAAGATCCGAGGCAGGAATTAAGTGCTGAATAAAAAAATATAACTATGTCTGAATTCATAAATATACTTTAAATTAGTTACTGCAGTCTTTGGATGGTCACTTGTTATTAATATAACCAGGTAGATTCTACCCATGTAATAATTTATAACCTTAATCAGGATTCTTGTAGCATTGGAGGTGTATTTGAGCTTGTGTATATGTGATATAATGATGATCATCTGTTTAGGTGTAGATGTTTGAAACGAGCATAGAATCTAGTTCTTCTTGGTGCCATTCTGTTTTCTAGTGTTCTTGTTTTCAGTTCCTTAAATGGTTCTTTAAGATACGTTGTCTACACAGGTTACAGGTGTGTTTGTATGTCTTGCATATATGAGTTGGACTTCTTCAAAAGTGCATGTCAGTTGGGGCTGCAGCTGCTGAGTTGTATCTTCTTACTTTCCGTAGTGAATACTGTAAAGAACATCAGGTATCTAACATCTGTACTAAAGCTTTTCTGATAGTCATTACTGAAGATTTACAACCCTGTAGAGTGTCCTCGTTCCTTTTTCTTAGCTGTCTTTAAAGCTGGGAGTTTGTTGTGGGTGTAGATTTTCTAGGTGTGTTTCTCTTTGCCTTTTAGGTTTTTGAAGTGGCAGTAGGTCTTTTTACCAGAAAAAAAACTTACTAATACATCTCTATTTTTAAAAATACTTTTATCTTTTTGCTCATACTGTGAGTTGTGGTCAAACCATACTGCTTACCTTTAAGATGAAGCTCATCCTCAGATTCTGTAGTGGCCAGCAGAGGTGGTCATGTTGCAGTGTTTATTGTGCACCATCACATGATAAGTTTTGTCTGTTTCCCTAAGTTTAGAGAAGTCTTGACCTTTTCCCACCTTGAATGATCCAGACAATATGCTGCAGACATGGAAAACTTGTGGAAAACTTTGCTTTTCAAGTCTGTTATACGTGGCAAACACAGGCATGAAGTTGAGATGGTATCTCAGGTCTTCTGTTAATCAGAGCACATGTTATAAAGCTGTGCTGTGATGTAGCATTCTCTGACTACAGGAAGCGTTTTTTATCCTGAAGATCAGAGTGAGTTTTCCCCAAAGAGCCAGGCATTTTATAAACATTTTGAAGTGCCCTTGACTCTGAAGAAATGCAAATTTTTCTGGTCCTGTCTTTCAGAGTGCTCAGCATAAAGGATCTGTCAAAGATGAAGTTGCTGCATTGAGATTTTGGGTGTAAACTGAGAAGGGATGTCTTAAAAAGAAAAAGAATCCCTTCCAAGTTACCTAAAAATGGGGCTTGTACTGGACTTGTCATGTGCTGAAGGGTAGACTTTGGCAGCAGGATCAAGTGGCCAAGAAAAGTAGCATTGCTTTTGAAGAGTGGTTCTTTTTCGTCTTACTGAAGAATTACAAAAAAGAATCCTTTGCCCTCTTGCAAAAAGAGCCAATTCAAGGATCTTCAAGCATATGTTTTACAGAACGCCATTAAAAAGCAGGCAAGAGTGTAAAAGCATGATTCTTGTGGAAAAATAACTTGTTCAGTGGGGAAGCTGTTAATTCTGAACAAAATTCAACACAGTTACTTCAGAAAAGGAGCCTGTATCTAATTTCATCAAGTTTCTGAATCATCTTCAGAGATCGAGCTTGTGTCTTAAGTTTGGAGTGCAAAGTAGGCACTAACATTCATCTGAAGTACTTGCATCCCAGGAATTTGGTCTTCCTTGTTAGATTAATTGATTGAGTTCTGCCACGCAAATGATAGTCTTTGAACTGCATCACGTTATGGAGAGACTGTGCTTTATGCTGGAGACTTGCTGTTAAATGTTACATTCATATTTTTGGATGCTTGCATTTAGTATTAAAATGTTTGAGACATTTAAAACTGCACAGCATGTATAATTGTGTTGCCATCTTGTGTTTAGGAGGCAGACCACAGATACCAGTCACTAGTGAAAGATTTGAACAGTGGTTCCCAGGCTCCACAGTAAGACCAGGCAACTGTCTTGCATTCCCTTCTTTTCTCCCTTCTTCAGTGAGAAGCTGGGTGACTTTGAAAAGAAAGTCTGTGAGCTGTCAAAAGACTGAAGAGGCTAGCAGTTAACTAGAGTCTACTCACTGATTTGTTACTCTTTCTTGAGAAGAGGCTCAGTATTCTAGCAGAAGCCTTACTGAAAATTCTTTGTTATTATGTTTGGGATTGTGGACCTTACTGTATATGAAAAATTGCAGGCATCCAGAGTTAGTTAAAGAATCCAGAGTAGCTTACCTTGATCTTCACTGTAAACTAGAGATTTAGATAACGAGCTGCAAGTTGTGCTTTGCTATTCAGTAACTTTTTCTGAGGGAATTCCATATTTATTTATTTATTTATTAGTAAACTTGGATGCTTTTTTTGCACCTCTTAATCTGCTTCTTAAAAGCAAGTTTGTGCACTTGGGGGTCTAGCAGGATGGTGAACTATGCTTCCATTTCCGAAATGTGTGTTCAGCATTTCCATCTCCAAATTTGTAATGTTGGTTGATGGATCTATACTGTTCTCATTAGGGATACCTGGTATGTGTCCCTGGGCATCCCCTTCCTGGAAAGAGCAGGAGGAAGCCCCTCAGTTCTTGTGGCAGTTCCTTGTACCAGAGTAGGACTTGTCCTGCTTTCATGCCATCACTGGCTGTGTTTAGGTTTTTTTACTTAGCCCTTTTAATCTGTGATAGTCTCAACAGTGCTGTCTGTTTTACTGTTTTCTCTTTTCCAAATGTTTATTTTCTACATTGCAGGGTAAACTTGGTCATGAAAAATACTGACATTTGTAACAGCCATTTTCAGTTATCATCAAAACTTAACAGTCTTGGTCCATTTGTGGCTGAGATGTTGAGATTCTAGTTGAAGCAGCCATGGCCTTGGGAGTAAAAGATGTTTATAGCCCACCCTTGGCTTAGTTGAAGGAGGAAATCTTAAAAGGAAAAGCCTCTTTAGTCTGGGAAATATGACTGGGGGTGGGGGAAGAGTCAACACTTACTAAAACATCTGAGCCCTTGTGGAGACATTGAGACTTTGTAGTTACTAGATTTTCTCATTCAGCTTCGACCCAGTTGGAGTAATGCTTTGCTTCAATGTGCTGGATCTTTGGGCTTGTGTAAACTGTCAAACTTCTTCTGCATCCCATGCAAGGATGGCCACGTTTATAACTGTGGAGTAAACTGTGTGTAAACCAACTAGCCTGTGACATTTTGGTGGCAACTCATCTGAAGAATGATGAGCAAACAAAT